CTCTATATAATTTTAATACAACTTAATTACAACTAAGAATTTGAATTTTAGTTTCTAAAAACTTAAAAACTGCCAGATATGTTGCAATCTACTACTTTTTGTTTTAAACAGACATCTCTTAGTTCTCTTACCTAAAGACAGGAATCGGATATGATTGAGCAGGACATAACAATGTTATTGAATTGTTTATTCGACCACGAACAGCATTTAATTCATCATTAGCATTGAATTTTGGACTGACACTACCAACCGGTTCTGAAATTTTTTTATTTTGTTTTCGTTTAACAATTACTTAAAAATAAGTTTACTAAAACTTCACTGCCTAAACGTTATTATGAGTTTAAACCATATTGCAATACATAAATTATAAGATAAAGGCAAACCTGTATGCCGGTACTGGATATGATTGCGCTGGACAAAATAAATTAAACGATCTGCCGATTTGAGCACCAGCATTTTTAAGTTTTTCTTCTAATGCAATTTTTGGTGCTACACTTCCTACCGGTTCTGTTAAAAGTATTCGTAAATAAAATATTCTTATTAAATCAAAATCTAAAAAAATAAAATGCCTGATTGTTGTATCAAGATAGCTCTAAAATAAAACTACGAATGATAAGTTATTAACCTGTAAGCTGGAACAGGATAAGATTGTGCAGGACAAAAAAGATTAAATGATCTTCCTATTTGAATAGAACTTCTTTTAAACTTCTCTTCTTCAGAGAGTTTTGGAGCGACACTACCCACAGGTTCTATTTAAATTAAAGACTAATATGAAATATTTTCAATTAAGTTGACAATATTTTAACTGCCGAAAATTTTAACTGCGAGAAACACTGATCTTATACAATATGACTACTTGACTCGCCTGTAATTCAATTTATTTTATTTTCTAACCTATAAGCTGGAACAGGAAACGATTGAGCCGGACAAAATAAATTAAACGAATTCCCAATTTTAGAAGCTGCCCTTATGAGTTTTTGTTCTTCAGCCAATTTTGGAGCGACACTACCAACAGGTTCTAAATTGTAAAAAATTTTTGTTAGAATTTCAAATTTAACAAATTTACTAAAGTGATTAACTGCCTAAATATTAAAAATTAATCCACAATTATAAAATTAATGAATTATAGAATAATAATAATAACCTATATGCTGGGACGGGATACGATTGAGCTGGGCAAAATAAATTAAATGATTTTCCGATTTCAGTACCAGCACTCTTTAATTTTTCTTCAGCTCCAATTTTCGGTGCGACACTACCAACAGGCTCTAATTATACATATTAAAAATTTTTGTTAGATTCTTAATTTGATGCAAAAACTTTTCAAAAAATCCTAAATGTTGGGAAATTTATAGGATACCGATACGAGATATAAGTTACGAAATACAAATTCAAGATATAAGTTTACACAGAAATTTTTCTTAAAACTCAAATCGAATTGCGACCTTATTTATAAATACCTAAAAGCCGGAACGGGATATGACTGAGCTGGGCAAAATAAATTGAAGTTGTTTTTAATCCTAGCTTCAGCATTTTTAAAACGATCTTCTACGGTTATTTTTGGGGCAACACTTCCTACTGGTTCTGATTTAAAATTGAAAATTAAAAGTTTTATTTCATATAGCTTTAAAAAGTTACAATTAATCTATAAAAAAATGAAGAATGTTGGGACTTTGAATATTTTTGTTTCATATTAATTTGCTGAATAAAATTAAATGCAAATATAAGTATACCTAAAAGCTGGAATGGGAAAAGATTGAGCTGGACAAAACAATGTTAATGCATTTCCAACGCCAGCTCCGGCATCTGTAAGTTTGTCACCAGTATTAATTTTTGGAGGAACACTGCCGACTGGTTCTAAGAATTGGAAGATTTTTAATAGTGTTTTCAAAAAACAAAAACTTTGACCTTGAATGTTGGAATAAAGTACTAACACAACTTTACAGACTATCTCGACCCAATAATTGATTAAAAACAATTACCTAAAGGCAGGTACTGGATATGATTGAGCCGGACAGAATATTGATACACTTAAACTTATATCAGTTTCCGCATCTTTTCGACGATCTGCAACACTAATTTTTGGTGGAACACTACCAACCGGTTCTGATTTCATAAAAAATTCAAATTCAAAAAAAAAATTGGTATGATTAACTGGTCGAATAAGACTTTGGACTGCCATGAATATTGGGGTAATAGCTAGAGCAACAACAGCAAATAAATAAAAATAAAAAAATACCTAAACGCTGGCACAGGAAAAGATTGTGCTGGGCAAAATAATGCAATGTCAGTAGTCAATTTACAAGCAGCGTTTTGTAATTGATCAGCAACACTCACTTTGGGTGCTACGCTTCCAACTGGTTCTGAAAAATTACGTGAATCATTTAATTACGAACAGACGCTTTTCTTTTCAACTATTTAAATTTAAATGCCTGAACATTTTCCATAGGATGAATGGTACATCAGTTTTGCTTTTAAACAAAGCCTTCATTAATTTTTTTTTACCTATAAGCGGGAACTGGATAAGATTGAGCTGGACACATTAATGCTATATTTTCATTGTTATTTACACTATCATGAGAAAATTCATCTTTTTTGTTAACTTTTGGGGCTACACTACCAACTGGTTCTTTATAATATGAAAGAACAAATTTGAAATAATTAAAATCATAATACAATTTTTGAGAGATAAAATATAAAATTAATATTTTAAATAGATAAATAAGAGCCTGAATGCTTGAATAAATAACCTTTTTAAATTTACCTAAAAACAGGCATTGGATATGCTTGACCTGGACAAAAAATACTGAATGAAACACCACTTTTAGCTAGAGCATGAGCAAATTTATCTTTGAATTCAATTTTCGGTGGTACGCTTCCAACAGGTTCTACAAAATTTTTTAATATTGTTTTTAAAAAAGAAAAACCAAGGTGAATCAACAAGTAAATTTAATATTATAAATGCCATAGCTCTTTTGAATGTTGGGACTAAGCTTAAATTTGTGATTGCAGTTTTGTTCGGGCTTTTGTATTATGCACCTACCTAAAAGCTGGTATTGGAAATGATTGAGCTCGACAAACAAGAGCTGTAGCATAATTTCTTAAGACCCTAGCAACTTTTAATTCATCATTGATATCAACTTTAGGAGCTACACTTCCAACCGGTTCTATATTAACAAATTAAAATAAAACATTGCATAAAGATTTCAACTGCCTAGAATTCAAATATTTTTAAAAGAACTGTAATCTTAAAAGTTTTAATACCTAAATGCTGGAATTGGAAACGATTGAGCTCTACATATAAGAGCGATACTATTCGTTCTTAAAACTCTTGCAACTTGAAGCTCATCGCTTATATCAACTTTTGGAGCTACACTCCCAACTGGTTCTATTATAAATGATTAAAACAAAAATTAATGAATAATATTTTTGTTTTACGTACTTACTCATATCAAACTACCTGAATATATAAGAACAAAGATTAAATTACCTAAAAGCTGGGATTGGATATGATTGTGCTGGACATACTAAAGAAACGCTACCACCATTCTGAACTCTGGCAACACGAAACTCATCATTTATATTAACTTTTGGAGCAACGCTTCCAACAGGCTCTAAATTGAGTTTTTTTTAAAGCAATTAAAGAATGCGAAATTTTAGTATTATTTAGTGTTTTAGCAAAAATATTTTAAGCTGCATGACTTTCTTAAGGTAAGATTGCCGAAATAATATTTACCTGAATACTGGTATAGGGAATGATTGTGCTGGGCAACCCAACGCAATACTGGTACCATATAAAGTTCGGGTCAAACTAAGCTCATCTTTTAGCGATACTCTTGGCGCTACACTTCCTACAGGCTCTTTATGTGTGTACATAATTATAAAAAACCATATTTCAACTTATCCATCAATTATTTTTTATAAAATCATAAAATTAAATTCGTTAAAACCCTAAATATTGGGATAATGTTTCTGATAGTATGTACTTTCATCATTCAGTCATAATTAATTGGATCGAATTAAATTTTTTAATTAATTGAAAATGTGTAATTGAGTTTTTACAAATTGGCTCAATTTCATACAAACTCACCGAAAGGCCGGTATTGGAAAACTTTGTGCTGGACAAATTAATGCAATACTATTCTTTAATTCAACTCTAGCGTGACTAAATTCATCTTTAACATTTACACGTGGAGCAACACTACCAACCGGTTCTAGGATAATAATTAACAAATATTTAGATGTAATATTAAAATAACAATAAAAACCTCAATGTTGGGAAAGGAAATCTAATTAGTATACAAGATAAAGTGTTTAAATCATCAATAACTCACCGAAAAGCAGGTATTGGATAACTCTGAGCGGGACAAAGGAGTGCAATTTCACCATTAAAATTAACATTAGCTAAATTTGTTTTATCTTTAATGTCAACTTTTGGAGCTACACTACCTACTGGCTCTATTTGAATATATTTTTAATATTATAAAAGTGTTCAGAGAAGTATAATAAAATTTTAGAAAAAAGCTGTAAGACTGCACAATGTTGGGATAATTGAAAAATATTAGCTATTTTGAAAAAGTTTTTGGCAAAAACTCACCGAAATACTGGTATAGGATAACTTTGAGCTGGACAAATTAAAGCAATTTCTCCATTTAATTTCACTCTTGCATAATTAATTTCATCTTTAATATCTACTTTAGGTGCAACGCTTCCAACAGGTTCTAAAGTAAATTTTAAAAATAACAAAATATGGAAGCTCTTGTAAAGAATTCCGTTTATAGTTAAATTTAACTGCAATGTTGAGATGTGAGCAATTTATTACATAAAATAAATTAAACTACAACAATTCAATAGTAAACGGACCAAGCTATATATCTTGCAAAATTTATCAAATTGACTCATATACCACTCCCTATAAAGGAAGATTTTTTTTTCAACAATTCAATTATAATATTCTACAAAAAAGGGGCTAAAAATTTAACATTTCGAATGGTATTTACCTAAATGCTGGTATGGGAAACGATTGACCTGGACATTGTAAAGAATAATAATCAGTTCCATTCTTAACTTCAACTACTTGAAATTTATCGTGAAGATTAATTTTTGGTGGAACACTACCCACGGGCTCTATAGATGAAAAGAAGTGAATATGAGTAAGTATTGTAGTTCAAAATTCAATTAATCTCTAAAGAATTATGAATGTTGGAATCGGAAACTATTTTTTATAATTTATAGAATATATTCAGGTGTGCAATTAAAACAATACAAGATAAAAAATAATCTACCTAAAAGCTGGAATTGGATATGATTGTGCCGGACATTGTAACGAAAAAGTGTCACCGATTTGTGTTTCACTAAATTGATGTTTATCATTAATAGTAAGTTTTGGCCTAACACTGCCAACAGGTTCTAAAATTAATTTGTCAAAATTGAATTAGAATAAATTTTATAATTTTATGCGAGAATGTTGGTTTGGGATATACGAAACAAGATGATTTTTCAATGTTGCTATTTTAAATGCAATTTTTCAGTACAACATAAAGAAAAAAATTATTCCAAACTTTGTTTTGGTAAGTTACCTAAAAACCGGAACTGGATAAGACTGAGCTGGACATAATAGAGAATATTTTCTACCAAAATCTACATCAATAAACTGATGTTTATCTTGAACATTTATTTTTGGGCCAACGGATCCTACAGGCTCTGAAATATGTCATATTTGAAATTATAATGTCTTTTTCATTTATAATTGTTTAAATACTAACTTAAAAATCGCAATTAGTTGGAATAAATTACCTAAATACTGGGATGGGATATGATTGTGCTGGACACAATATTGACAAACTTTCTTGTTGAGCAATTTGCATCATTTTTAATTTATCAAGAAAATTAACTTTTGGAGAAACACTTCCGACGGGTTCTAAAAGTTTTTCATAATCAATTTTGCGCTATTTTTAACATAATATTAAAACATTTAATACAATTAATTTCAAACCTGAATGTTTGGACAAAATTTAAAATTTCAAAACAGTTGTAAATCAATATTTTACCTATGCACTGGTACCGGATATGATTGAGCTGGGCATAAAATTGAAATACTTCCATTTAAAGGTAAATCCATCATTTTAAATTTTTCTAAAAAGTTTACTTTAGGTGCAACACTACCAACTGGCTCTATTAGAAATAAAGTATAAAATGCTCGCGTAACAAATAATTAGAAAATTTAAAAAAATGAAATCTAGAGATCTGGTACCCGTTTGAAATTAAATTTTCTCATTTTGTTTAAAAACTAGTATGAAAAAATGCTTCCCTAAATATTTGTCACATATCTTACCTAAATGCAGGAGTTGGGTATGATTGTGCTGGACACAATATATTTATAGAATTTCCGATTCTTGTTTTTAATAATTTATATTCATCTCCAACATTAATTTTAGGGCTTACACTTCCAACCGGTTCTAAATTAACAGACAAAAAGAAGTTGATTATTAGATAAAAATCTTAATAAACTTTATCAATATTCTGATATAGAAATAGTTGGGATTTGGGACCAATATTTTAATTTAAATTTTTTTTATTAAAGACAATTTCTCTAGCTCTAATTATTCAATTCAAAACAAGAATATAAGCAAATAGTTGAAACATGTATTTCACTAAATATTAGCTCGTATAAATAAGTATCGCTATTCACTTACTTGAAAACAGGAACTGGGAAAGCTTGAGCTGGACAAATTAACGTTATAGATGAATCTCTTGGCATTAAAAGGACTTTAATATCATTTCCAGAAGTTAATCTAGGACCAACACTTCCAACAGGCTCTTTAAAGCAAATTGAGATTAATAACAATGTTACAATTTATGCTTGAATTTTTTCAAAGATGTAAAACTAAATATTGGAATAGAGAGCAACCAATAATTAAAAATGTATTTATTAATAACACTTAGTTACCGATAGTAACAACTAAAGTTAGTTGCAAGCAGTTGCACTTTTTTCGTTTTTAATTTCGGCTTTTGGAACAAAAAACTAGTAGTGGTTTAATATAGAATATTACAGAACAAGAAAATTTTATTCCAGCATATTGGCAATGAGCACTCTCAAAATGCGAATAATAATTCCAAAAATAATTTTAAAAAGCTGAATATCTCTTAGAGCATTCCACCTGTCCGGTTAAATGCTAAATAAAGTAAAATTAAATTAAACTCCAAGACTGTTTCCCATTTTCGCAGAGATTTACTACATTCTCTAAAAGTTTCCTAGTATCTTAAATCACAACAAAATTCAATAATTACTTCAATTTCAATATAATAACTTTTATGAACTCCTAGCCATCTCGAATTTATAATAAAAGAAATATTGGCTAATCAATTAAAGAATTAATTGGGAATCCTAATAGAAATTATCTTAATAAAAAATTCATTCGTTCTAATCCTTCTATTTTTTATTATTATATTTTATCTTAATTTTAATAACATATTGTAAATAAAAACAAAATATTTAATATTCATTTGAAATATCAAATACGTGTAAAACTAATCAGTCAAAAAATAGTTTTTGTAAAGAAAATTTATTTTCACTTACCTGGTGAAAAATTTTAAATATTTAAGGATCAAGAAAAATAAGAAAAAACAAACAGACAAACTTTCTTCTGTAGAAACAAAAACAAAATTTCTCAATTTTCATTATTTCTAGAATTAATACATAGGTAATTAGATAGGTAGGCGCTTCTCAAGTTCAAGTCAAGCATTTTGATTTTTTATAAAGCATTTTAATTTAAAATGAAATATTTATTAATTTTATATATTGGTTTCCAATAAAAACTAAGAACGAATGAAACCAATTTATTAAAAAAATTTACAATTGTAAATTAATAATAAAATTTTTAATTTAAATTTTAATTTTTACTTTAGTTTCAATTTAATTATAACCGACGCGACAAACAGGGTACCCTATCCCAACATTCAGGCAGTTAAAACTTTTTTAATAAAAGCAAAAATATTTTTCACTACAATTTTAATTAAATTAATATTAAAATTAAAATAATTTAAGAAAACAAAATTTGAATTTAAAATAATTAAACATAATTTACAACAACTTTTAATATTTGTGCTTTTATTATATACAATATAATATATATATATATAAATTTTTTCTTTTAAATATTAAACATAATTTTAACAAACATTAAAAGTTAATTTTCAAAAAAATTTTGGTTATTATTTTTACAATTTACAAAACTCTTAATGTTTGTTAATTAAAGATTAATTAAAATAAATTTATGAATAATTTTGAAATTATTTTTTTTTAAAATAATACAATTAATTTTGTTATTAATACAATTAAGTATGTTAACATTTTAGTTTCTTATTTAATTCAAATTGACAATTTGAATTTAAATCATGAAATTTAAAATTAAAATTTTTAATTCTGAAATATCGAAAACAATCATTCAAAATAATTTTCATTTCTTAAAGAAACACTTATGGCCATATAAAATTTTAGTTATTTGTAAATTTAAAAAATAAAATATTTAAAAAATTTGTTAAATATTATGAAAAAACAATATTTGTACATTTTTGATTCAATTATTCAAATTTAATTTTTTAGATTTCAAAATTTATTCATAAATTTATTTTTCTTTGACCAAAATATCATTTATAATTATACCAATATAAATTGTTTCATATTTTAATTTAAAATATGAATTTTATTTTTGATTAAAATTTTGAAGTGCCTTTTACACATCAGTTTAAATCTTAAATAAAATCTGATCAAATGAAAATTTGTTGAAAATCAAAGTATCAAAATCTAATTGGAAAAATAGAAAACTATCCGAACTTTCACCAAATTTTTAAAAGTAATATGGTGCAAACCAAATTTGTTGAAAATTCAGTAAGAAAAACACATTTAGTCTGATGTTTAATTGGCATCTTAAATTAAAAATTATTAAAATGATATTTTGTATTATAAAATTTTAAATAAAATCAAAGTTAATCAGTAAAAAAATATTAATTTCAAAATGAAAAATTTGAATAAATATTTTGTAAATTTAAAATTATAAAAAATAAAGTCTACAAATTTAGAAAATTTTAAATTTGATTATAATTTACAAAACTGTATAACTTTAATTTTATAATAGAATAATAAATAAATTGAAATCTTAAATTTATTAATTTTCTTTAAATTTTAAAACAAAATAAACAAAACTTTATATTGGAACTTTATATATACACTTCCCATTTTGGAGAAGTGTATTACAAAAAAAAGGAAAGTAGGTATTTTTTATACTTTGCAGCTGTACTACGCTTAACAAAAAATCGGAATTCACAATTTCATATTCTCCGCACGATAAGAGGTATAAGAGTTGCAATCCTCTATTATAAGTATATGAACGTTTACTCAAATTTTAACTAAAACAATATAACAAATTAATTAATTTCGAAAAAAAAATTTTATTTATTATTCTATTATTATTATTCTATTTGAATTATTAAAATAGAAAATTATTAGAATAGAAAAATATTATATTTTTTCTTTCTTATAATTTTAGTAAACAAAATAACTTACCAGTAATAACAAGACGTCCTTTTGTTGCACTCAATCGTGTTTCACCAGTTAAACGATGTTTTGTTCTACATTGATAACTTTTATAACCATCTTCTGGACCAACTTCACGAATATGAAGTTCACCAGATGGAAGAACTAAATATTTACCATCTATACATATTATTTGTTGCAATATTAATATTTTGTTTTATTAAAAACAAAAATTAATATAAAGAAAGAAATTGAAAAGAAAAAAATAAAATTTAAATATTAGAAATTTTTGTTAAAAATTTTTTAATTTTTTTTTTTATGTAAACATTAACTAAGTTTTTTGAAAAGCATGCATGATTTTAATTTTTAAACTAAATTCATGCTATTAAAAATAATTTTATAAAAATTGTATCTCTTTCATAATTGCTATTTTTTTTGTTCATTTTTACAAAATTTTCAAATTTTTTATGTACATTTTAATTTATTTTTACATTTTATATTGTTATAAACATGCTTTTCAACATTATTTAATAAAAACTTGTTTTTTTTTGAAAGAATTACAATTTATACAAATATATTTTATACAATAGTAATAATTAATCATTTACACTTTATTTATTAATTATAAATATTTTGAATAATTAAATTTATTACAGTTAACATTAATTTTATTTCAGTTAACATTACTAATATAATAATAAATTGTTATTTTATTAATTATGATTTAGATATTTAAGCAAGTTATTATTAAATGAATATATTAATTAATTATTAATTAATATCAATTAAATGCTATATAATTGCCAAAGTGAATCTCTATGATTAATTATTACTTAATTAAATATTAAAAACCTTTTGATAAAATTTTAGAATTTTATGAATATTTAAAATTGTAAATGAAATTTTCTTTGATTTTCTGATTTTCATATTATTTATTACTTTACAAGAAATTTTATATTAAATTTAAATTAAATTTGCAAAATGAACTTAATATTTCTCATATATAAAAATGAAATAATTTATATATGAAAGTATAATTACATGAATTAGGTACATATATTAGAAAATTGGTTGGTGAGAAAGAATTTTATTCAATTAATTAAAAAAATAAAAATATTTATAATTCTTGTACAACAATTACATTTCATTTACAATTTAAAAGGATTTTTAAAATAAATTTGCAATTTCTTACATTATTTTGTTATTATTGTCTTATTTTCAAGTTCCTCTATATTTTATTCTAATTATAATTTACAAATTATTTTTTAAAGTAACATTATATTTTGAAAATGCTAGTTAATTTTGTGAATAATATACAGCTCTTAGGAGTGAGCAATAAATATTGTAATATGTTAATTAATATTTTATAAAGCATAATATAATTTTTAAAAGTGTTTTTTTTTTATTAATGATAAATTAAGTTAAGAAATTTCAAATTTATTTCCTTAAAATTCAATTAATTTTATATTATTTAAATTTTCCTATACAATGAAAATATGTTGTAAAGAAAACTTTATTTATAATACTTAAATACTTAAATATGTTGTTAATACAATATTAACAACAATCAAACATTTTGTATGATCATGTTTGTTTCATTAAATTTTTATATTATTATTTAAATAGAAAATGCCATCAAAAAAGCTGAAAAGAACAATTTGCCAAAATATTTTTTAATTGCAAAAAGACATTTTATTTGTACTAGAACAATAATTTTGTTGTTTTTTCAGAAAATTAAAAATCCAGAAAATTATCAATTAATTTTGTAAAGTTTCTTTAAAGTATGAACAATTTTTCATGTCAAGACAACACAGCCTAATGCGTCTTTCGACATCAAAGTCTTTATACGCCAAAATAAACTGTGTCAAATCAGCGTTTTTATATCAAATCACCATACCAATTTTGGATGTGTGTATAAGTGTGGTGTATAGCATTTAAAATATTAGTAAACTTTATTTTATATTGTAGTTTGTTTAGAATAATTTTTTAAAAATTATTCTTACACAATATTTAAAAAGAACAAACATCAATAAAATAAGGTATTTAATGCAATAATTTATTATTTAATTTATATATGTAGTTTGATTGAATTTATTTGATTTAAAGTTTTCTTTACAAAATATATTAAAAAACTAATTTTCGAATATGAAGGGGGAATATTAAGGATTAAGGTAAGCCGTGAAGCTTATGGATTATTTGGAGCATAGGATTATTAAGGGATAGAAATGATTATGTTCAAATTAAACTTTCGAATCAAAACAAAAAAAAAATAAAATAGAATCATTAAAGAAAAATGAAATTATTAATAACGAATATTAACAAAATGAAACGAATAAATTAAAAGAAATAAAATTATTTTACAAAAAAAAAAAAATTAAATTTAATTAATTTAAAAAATTAATTAACAAAAAATTAAAATTAGAAATCTAATATTTGAAGGCCTGATTAATTGCAGTCTTATGGTTATTACCCCTAATTTTTTTCAGTTATCAAAAAAAAAAAAAAAATCACAAAACCAAAAATTAATCAACATTAAAATTAATAACTGATGTCTTATTTTAATTGATAATTCCTTTGGAACGAGCGAGAGCAACTGAAACTTTAAATTTCGAATTTCGAAAAACAAAAAAAAGTTTACGCAATACAATAAAATCGGGTGCGAATAAGAGTGAAACAAATTTCATAAAAATAAGAAATGGTAGATGAATTGGCGAAAGAGATTGCAATTTCGAAAATAATTTTCACAAAAAATATACTTGCATCTATTCAATTTTTTTTATAAATATAGAAAAAATTATTAAATGAAATAATTTAATTTTTGAATATTTTTCGGAAATCGAATTTTATATTTGTATGGAAATGGTATGATTTTTTTTTTAATTTTATTTTTCATTCTAAAAATATTTTATGAATTCTTTTATATATTTTTTTTTTTTTTATTAAAAATTATATTTTTATTTTACCAGTACTTAAATCATTTTTATCAGTTGCTGGTAATATTTCATTTGATTCCTCATCAACCCATGATGAAACATATACAAAATCAGCAACAAAACTTGGAATATGACATTTTAATATTGCAGTATTACCACGTAGTATCGCTTCATCCATAACATTAACAGTATAACTTTGTGATACAACTGGAAAATTTTGTTTTTTTTTTTTTGAAATAATCAAAATATAATTTCAAAAAGCTATACAATTAGGTTTGAAAAGGAATTTATTTAAAAATTAAATTTTAATTATAATCGTGAGAGAATATTTATTCCTATATTTTCCACCAGGGTTATATTAGCGGATAAAATTTACAAACATTTATAAAATCTTTTTTAAAAGATAATTCTCTTCTTTAACAACCTATATTCATATACTTTCTAAAATTATTCTAAACGTACGGAGATTTAAATAAATAATAAAAAGAAAAAAATTAACCTCAAAAATTAACCTTACACGATTAGGAATGGGAATCTGATTTTGAAAAAAACCATTTCTATACTCATTTTTTCTATTAATTTTTGAAAATTTTATTTATTTTTAAAAATTATTTTCTAATTATACCCGTTCGATTTTTAATATAATGATCCCCATTAGTATCAACCCATTCAGTAATTTCAACATGATCAGCAACAAATGATGGAATTTGACATTTTAAAACAGCTGAATTTCCTTTAATGACATATTCGTCATAAACTTGTGCCTCAAAATATTGATTTACAACTAAAGTTTTTTTTTTTATTAAGAAAAATAAAAAGAAAATCAAGTTAAGGTAGGATAAAATTATTGTTTCGAAAGTAATGTATTAATATATAAAATACATACATATAAGTAAATATATATAATTGATAAAATCTGAAAGGATATTTTTAAGGATAACTTAACCACATATATTATCTTATGAGAAATGATCTTAAAACATATTTTGAAGAAAGAAAATCGAACTGAAGTTTTCATCAATTATTTCTTCAGTTTTTTTTACCTATTTCAATTCCCGTTTTATAAATTTCATTTCCTTCATCATCTACCCATGATTCAATATCAATAAAATCAGCAACAAATGATGGTACAAGACATTTTAATGTTGCTGAATTACCCCTCAATACAAATTCATCTATAACACGAGTCTGATAAAATTGATGAACAACTAAATATAGTAGAAGATAATCAAAATCTAAAGTTAATAAATTTATACTTTTTATTTTTAATTAAAAAATTAAAAGAAAATAATAATAATAACCAAGAAATATTTAGAAATGGGTAAAAAGAAATTGGGTATTTTTATTTTAAAAACTACTATTCCATTTATTTTTTGTGGTATTTTCTATTAAAATGCTTAATATCAACCCAATAACAGCTCAAAAGAAATTATAAATTCATTCATTATGTTGCTTATTTAAATTTTTAAAATATTTCCCTAAATGAAAATAAATCTAAAATATGTAGCTAAATTTATAAAAAAAAAATCATTTATCTACCAACACATTATTATAAAATTAAACAATATATAGAAAAGATTCTTTGCTATAATCACGAACCAATCTCTTTATCACTATCAGGATAATAAGTCCTTCCATCAGAATCCATCCAAAGATCAACAAAAACAAAATCGGCAACATATGATGGAATTTCACATTTCATAACAACCGAATTACCACGAATAACATATTCATTATCGGCTTCGGCTTCGTATGTTTGAATCACAACTATGTGATAAGTATAGGCAAATATACAAGAAATTACATAAATATATTAAAAATAATTGGATATTTTAAATAATAAAATGAAACATAATTGAAAGTATAACAAATTTACATAAAATTTAAAAAAAAAAATGGAAATATTATTGCGATAACCTCACTTACATTATAACATTTAAGTATTCAATAAAATATAACGATAATTTGGAAAAAGGATTATAAAAAATACAAAATGCCTGCAAATATGCTTAAACAATATAAACATAATAATTTATCAACTATTCTATTATATATATATGTATATAATTAGATGATAATTTAAAGTTTCAATTTTACAAAAAATCTAACCATATTTAGCGAATGAATCATTTCGCCATAATTCTTTGCCCTCTTCATCAACCCATGCTTCAACCGTAACAAAATCAGCGACAAATGATGGAATTTTACATTTAACAACAGCTGAATTACCCTTTATAACATATTCATTTTCAGCTTCAGTTATATAAAATTGTGAAACAACTAAAAATTAAAATTTTCTTTTTTTAATATACAAGAAATTAATATTATACGGGTTAAAATAAATTATACAATGTTGAAAAAATATGAAACATAAAGTTAAATTTAAAAATTATAAAAATAATAATATATATAAATATTAATATTTTAATAAATAAAAAAATAAATTTAAATTAAAAATTATTTGTGCAATAAAAAAAATATATATATAAATTTTAATTAAGAATAAGGAATAATTTTCCTGTGCTGTACAAAAGATGGAAATTAATTTATTATTCGTCAATTTCTTTTATACAACGAAAATTATATGTATATAATGTATATATGTATGAATATTGTAAAAGGAAGAGAATCACACACTATCAGCGAAATTACTACAATTATATAATATTATTGTATATCAATCAAAGAATTGAAAACTATATATAATTTGTACAATGAATTTTTTAGAATAAAACAATGTACATATTTCAAATTTTAAATTTTAACTACAACTTTTAATCGTAATTATTTTATATAGAAGACGAGCGAAAATAAAATATAATTATATTAGAGAGAAACAAAAAATTATCGAGATTCGAACCATATTTATCAGTTATCGTTAAAACTTCACCATCTTCATCAATCCATGATTCAACTCGTACAAAATCTGCTACAAATGATGGTATTGAACATTTCAATACTGCAGAGTTGCCTTTTATAACATATTCTGTCATAATTTCCGCTTCATAGAATTGATTAACAACTAAAATAAAATTTTTCTATAATTTTAGTTTTATAAAATTGATAAAAGTGATTTTTTTTCCGATATTTTAGAGAAAAAATCACAAAAACAAAAAAAAAAACCAAAAACAATTTGATTGAAAATGAAAAAATTTTATCGCACACATTTTTTTTCGTATTCCAAACTGCGATATTAATTTCTAAGAAAAAATATTCATCCTTGGAATTGGTAAATTCGTCAAACTATTCGAAATAAAAAAAAAAAAACCCTTTTGGAAAAACTCTGTAATTATGACAATCTTTTTGGAATTTTTAATTAAAAGAAAATGCTATTTTAAAATTCGAGATAAAAAGGGAACAACTGCAATGCAAACGTTTGTTTTTGCGAAAATTCACATAAATTTGAGAAAAATTTTATGAAAAATTCAAAACAAAAGAAAAATTAGAACAAAACTAAAAATTAATAAAATTAAGAATGAAGTATTTAATTTTACAAAATTGAATTCATATAATTAGAACCCATATAATATTACCCATGTTAAAGAAATAGAGAAACAGAAAACCATAAAAATTAAAATATTAATTAACAAAAATTCTTAGAAAAGGTTTTTTTTTTTTAATAATCAGATTCAATAAGGACAAGGAATTATTTATACAACTTCTTTTTTAAGTTTCTAGTAACAAATAATCCAATATTTATAATTAAATCAAATCAAAATCAAACCATAATTATTAGAAGGTTTTAATTCAGTTCCTTCTTCATCAATCCAAGATTCAACACGTACAAAATCAGCAACAAATGAAGGAATCGAACATTTTAATACTGCTGAATTTCCTTTAATAACATATTCCATAAGAATATCAGCACCATAATATTGATTAACAACTATTAAACCCAAAAAAAAAAAATAGCAAAAAATAAAATTATTTAAAAAAAAAAGTTGGTAATTAAAACCAAATAAAATGGAAATTTTTGAAATCATTTCAATTTTTCATAATCATTTAGAAAAAAAAGGGTGTTGAATGGAGCCCTATACCTTTAATTTTTAAATACCTACACTTATTTTTCTATTTTCTTTTATTATTCGTTTATACTTAATATAATCTATTATAATTAATTCATTATATATACCAAAATTATCAGATGGCAAATATTCTGTAGAATCACTACCAACCCATGCTTCAACTTTAACAAAATCAGCAACAAAACTTGGTATTGTACATTTTAAAACAGCAGTATTACCCTTAATAACATATTCTGATACAACTTCAGCTTCATAATATTGATTAACAACTAAATAAATTTAAATTATGAAAGTGTTAAAATTACAACCAAAAATAAAGGAAAATTTTTCTTAAAAAAAAAAAACAAAAAAAAATATTTTAAAAAAAATAAAAAATTCCATTTATATTTATTTTCTTTTTTTCGATTTCTGAACCAAGTTTAATTCAAATCCAAAAGGAATAACGGGAAGGATATTAATTTCATGGGAAATAGAATACAATGGAAACAACAACTGTAATAATAAAATCACGCAATTACAACCTAAACAAAAATATAAAAATCCATAATTTTTTTTTTTATATACCAGCTGATAATTGTTGATGTTGACCTTTATTTTCATCTAATGTCCCATATAAATCACCATTTTCATCTTGCCATGAAACAACTTGAACAAAATCAGCAACAAATGATGGTATAGAACATTTAAGAACAGCTGAATTACCACGTATCACGTATTCATTATTAACTTCAGATTCATAATATTGTTGAACAACTATATATGTATTATGTAACATAATTATTACAAGTTTATTACCGATTATTATATAATAAACATAATAATAATAATTTTTTTTGTAACAATTTTTCAATATAAAACTTTAATCTTTAAATTTATATTAATTTAAAAATCATAACAATTCCATTATAAGAGAACGTGAATTTTCTCATATTGTGATAAAAAATTTTATACATCTAGACAAAGATGATCTACTTTTTATTGGACATTTTTATTGGACATTATCATAATATTTTTGTGAATAGAATGTCCACCTTCCTAACATAAAAACCTACTTTATTTGATTATTTCAACTCGAATTATAAAATCAGTTCAAAATCACAATCACGATATTAGTAAAAAATCTCATAAAAGTGAAAAAGCACACAATTTTTTTTTAAATTTAAAATAATAAAATAAATTAGAAAATATCATCAAAATTGATTGAAATGAAATCATCCTAAAACAAAAATCATTGTTGTTTACACTGAATCATAAGTACTGAAAATTTCCTGCTATGAATTAGATCGTGACATAAAAAACGTGATTCTAATATTGCCTCTAAAATTATATTTCATCATCTTTTCCCATATGGTGACAAAAATATAATATTTGTTGTACCTACTTACGCTTATAAAGAAGAAAGCTTCTACAAACATACAAGTATGTTAACATAAATACATACGACAATTCATGAGATTCGAAAGCAAAACTATAAATTATATTTCTTATTATGATTAAATTGTTTTTGTTAATTCACTGATTTAGTAGAAGATTATTCAAAAAATTATATTTAATAATGCAAAAACAAAACGTTGAAATTTTATTCCCATGACATTTATACCCCACATTTAATGTGGATAGTTATAGGAATTAGATACTCCTTAAAATGTCATTTTTATGAGTGCCCTCATGACGATGTCCAAATTTTCTTTGGTGAACTAATTAAGGTAACTTTGGCGTGATGGATGTTGACCTTGACGACCCCGATGCATTTGTGATATTTAACTTTTACACACGGGTCTCTAAGTGACAGGTTGGTCCACACGATTTCCAATAAAGTTCTACCAGAAAAAAACCCGACTTTGGATTTCTTAAGACCATTTTCGATCATTTAGAAAAAATCCATATCAAACTTCAAATTTCTCATTTCTGAAATTTTTCATTCTTTTGTACAATAGATTATACGATTTCCTTACATAGTTCTAGAATACATAAAAATCATTGAAAATGTTTATCATTTATATAGATTCACATTTTAGGGTCTATTATACAAAATCGATAATGAATTTTTTTTTTTTGTAAAATTAATAATATAATATTTGTTAATATAATTATTAAAATGTGAAAATCATTAACTCCTGTTAATTCAAACATTAAATTCAATATGCAATATTATTTGTTCCGAAATTATTATATCCATCTCCGTAAAATAAAGATTCTTAGAGATTCATTCAATATTGAAATGTAAGGTAGGGTATAAATGAAAAATTTTTCTTAGAATACGTTTAAGTTGAAATGTTAACAAACACTTTAAAAGGTTAATTTGATATAAAAATGTTATAAATTATGTGATAATTTAAATAATTTAACAAAGCGTTTCAATAATATTAAGAAAGAAATCTTAAAAAAAATTTATATAGTCACAATCGCACGTAAAACAATATTTTTCGTATATATGTATGTACACGTATAAGGTAAATGGGCTCACATGATAATAAATTATAATTTAGTTATTATTATTATTAATAACCAGGTATATGATAAACATTTTGATTAAAGCATTTTATTGAAAAGGATTATTTTAATGAGTTGGCGTATTCGCAAAGAAACAATGTTTCTGAATCTGGGAGCCATTACTAAATTTGTTTTCCTTGCTTTCACAAAGCTTTAACACAAAACTTTCACAAATGAAAAAGTCATCATTTATATTATGTCGCAAATATTTCTTCATGCCTCTGTACCTCAGTTGGTAGAGTTTCTGCCTAAAAAGCGGTAGGTAACTGACTCGTTCCTTTGACAAAGTTATTCATCTCTTCTGGAGTTTTTTTAAGGAATTCTAATTGCTTATTTTCGTCAAATTTTCTCTTAAACCAACTCTATCAACCCATTTATACAGATTCTACAATAAACAATTTGAATAAAAATAATATAATTCCAAATCTGTAATAAGCATTAAGAAACCAAGAATGATCTAATCTTATTTAAAGAAGTTTTTAACAAAAGAATGCAAAAATAATAAAATTCTCTGTATAACACTTTACTTTATCTTCTAATATTTTATTTAAATTTTTTTATATATTAAAATATTTATTACCCGAATGCACAGTTACTCCTTATTATCATATTGTTAAAATTCAATTAAAATTTTATGTATAAGATTAAGAATATTCAGAAATAAATCCGTCAACAAAAAATTTTAATTAAATCAAGTTCCTATTTCCACTACAATACATAATTATGTAGCTCACATAATCAAATTGTATAAAATATATTGTTGTGAATAAAAAAAAAATCTTTATTTGGCATTCACTAGAAAATTAAATAAATAAAATTTAATGTGTGTACTTAAAGTTCTTTGCACCCTTTTCTTTTTTTTTTAAAAAGAACAGTACCTACTTACTAAAACTAGTTAGTGCTATAGTAAAAAATTTAACACCGACTGAGTAACATTTACTGCACCTAATTGATTTGTATATGTGTACCTAAATATATGTACCAGTATATTTGTACAAAATTAAGATTGTTATCACAAAAGAATTTTCAATTTAATCTGCTTTTTATTTAATGAAACATTAAAACTTACAATAAAGAAATGAATTAAATTATAATTATTCTAGAAGAGATAAAAAAAAAAAACAAAAATACAAAATTTCACACCATAAATGAATTGAACTTGTAGTTTGTTTTTATTTCCATCCTTATTTATTTTAATAGGTTTACAACAATGAATAACTATCATTTGAACCTCACCTTAAAAAAAATTATACCTAAATATTATATAGCATTCATGTTAAACGTCACACCAACATGTTATTTAAAACAAAAACAAATGATAAAAAAAAAACGCGGAATAAAAAAAAAAATAGGTATGTCAAATGTATTTAAGTAATTTTTTAAGAACGCGCATCTTTTAAATTATTACTCACATACTTGTACATAATATGTAGTTTTACTAGCATCACACAATCATTATTTTAAAATATTTAACTTCTATGAATACACATTACTCATTGATGTGAATAAACACCTTTTTCTTTTTGCATAATAAATACTAACAATTTATTTCTAATAAAATTTTGCAGTAAGTAGTAAGTGAACACATTGGTAACGAAAATTTAACGACTCAAAATTCTATTAAATGAACTGTAAAAAATTGATATTTTATAAAAGTAAAGCTTTAATCACTAAATATTTTTTATTCGTAGTTAACCAGGCGGTTGTAAAGAAGAAACATAACATGCATTGCATGTAGATTAACATTTCGGCAATCCAAATTGCACTTTGTAAATGATAAGCAGCTAGGAAAGGCGCTATATGAGACCTCAAATTTCATCATTGAAGAAAATAATTTAACATTAAACGCTTTTACGTATCTAAGTTACAAGCTATGCAGTAGAATAGAAAAATTCATTTCGATCATTTGCACCTTATCCAAAATTTTCTTTCGTTCAACTCACACAAAGCATATAGTTGGTTATTAGTCACCTAAAATGTTTCCATTTAATGACTCAATTAGCATAAATCTGAATAAATTTGTTGCCAAGATCTATCTAAACAATATTCTTAAACTATTTAACAAAAAATTTTTCTTGAAAAAATAACTAAAGTTATTTTATACGCTGAAAATATCAGTAAAACCACCAAACGGTAGGCAGACACTATTAAAGTTATAACGTAAAAAAGGTTAAAACAATTGAAATCATCTAGTTTATTTACACATTGTAAATATTAAAGTAAAAACTAAGTAAATAATATGTATACAACAAAAAAAAATTTCATTTTCTTTTATACGTCTAACATATTAAATAATACAAGGTCAGCGAAATTTTAAAAAGAATTACTCTAGCGGAAAATATCTAACAGTGGCTTTTGAATAAAACAAAGTTTTATTAAATCTTCTCATCACCTAAAATGTGTAAAAGTTTTTCCAGTAATGTGAACAAGTTATTTAGGGGTTAGTCTTTATTTTTAAAAACGAAAATGTTATACTCTATTTGAAATTAAGTTTTGTTTTTAAACAACTTAAAATGTTTGTAGAAGTACAGCATTGTATTTAGGTATTATTTATCTAGTGAATGGAAAGGTTACTAGAATTTTAATTTAAATAATAAACTTCACTAATAACAAAATTTCTAATGACAGTAAGATCACTTGAAAAAAGTCGATTTTTATTCTAATATCTTTTCCGGCAGTAGGAAAACTTGTTACTCAAAAAGCCATTATGATGAGGTTTCACCTTTATTAAATGAGAATATAAAATTTTTTGTTGATTTTTGTGTATAGAAGCACTTGATTTTTTCCGTAAATTTTTATATTACTTTTGTGTTGCATTAATTTTAATCCACGTTCTACTGGAACATCAATTCTTATTCCCCCTTTTCTTTTATATCTCTCACTCCTTATACATTTTCCAATTCTAATTTAAATATCCATTAGTCATTATTCCTCACTTATGTAAAAAGAACAACTATAACAAATGATCTATTCACAAAGTATTAAGGAGATATTAAAAAATAGGGCCACTTCAAACTATTAAGACCAATTCAAATTATTTTTTAAATTATTTGCAATTAATTGTTATTCTTGTGTTTGTTGTTCTTTCCCCTTGTTTTTGTTAGTTTAAGGGTGTTGCTATATAAATTAGTCACCGTCGTTTCCTTATTGTTTGAATTTTATTTTTCACGCTCTATAGAATGTTTTTGTTCACACACTTTTTAAAAAATCTTCTTTATTTTGTACATACCTAAAGAAACTAAAATTGAAGTAATTTATTA